AGTATTTGTAATGATAAAATATTAACAATATAACATTTATTATTAAATTGTATTGTAAACAAGAATGTACAAATGAAAATATAAAATAAATAATCAAATGATGAATAAAATAAAATAAATTAATAGAAATGACAGAAGAATAAATAAATATAGATTTAATATGTTGAATCAATCAATCAATAAAATGAATGTTTCATAAATAAAATACATTTATAAGATAAATAATGAATGATATGTCAAATATGATATTATTAATAAAATAGAAATATATAGAAAATATTCAAGATAAATAGTAAACAATAAAATGAATAAGAACAAGAATGAGAATGAAATAAAGAAATAATAAATACAATAATAAACCAATATGAATATGAAATATACAATGAAACACTTATTGAGATATATAAAAATGAGATATAGAACTAATAAGAAATATACAAATGAAAGAAACAACAACATAAGAGTAACAAGAAATATACACCAATATTATTCAATATTATTTATTTGTTATGTTCTTCTTACTTCGTTTAATCATTCTGTTATTTATTTCTTCATTTAAATTTATTTAAATTTATCCATTTTTATTACTCTTTTTATTATTATTCTTCTTAATTATTTATTGTTTGTTAATTGAATTGATTCTATCACCTTTTATTCATTTATTATTCTTCTTCATTTTTATTTTATTTTGTTGTGTTTCATATAATTTGTTGATTTAATTAATTACTTGTATTTCATATCATTTCATCAATTATTTCATTTTTATAGTTAAATAATAAGATATTGTATTCTTGTGTATTTTCAATACTATCTATTATCATTTCTAAATGTTTCTTTCTTTTTGTGATTAATTAAACTCATCTATTGATGTTTATCATTTATCTATTCTTATACTAAAATTCTTTTATCAACAATAGAATATTTCTAGTTCTTCTTCTTTCTATGTATTGACATGGATAAATTATGATCTGATCATTAATTTCTTACTTTGTTTCTTTTTATAAATACATGTTATTTCATAGATTTTAAATAATCATTAATTATTTTTTACAATATTTCTGATGTATAATTATGAATAATAATGAAAATATTCAAGAATAGTATTGAAGAATGCTAAATGAAGTAAATTATTCAATTAAATCAGATACATTTAATTAATGTTCAAAATGGGAACCTAAATAAACAAAGAAATAATACATATAAATAAAAATCATAAAAATAAAAAAGAATCAAATAAATTATATCAATAAAATAATGTTAAATAATTTGCATCAATAAATTAAACATTTTTATTGCATATTTCTAATTTCTATAATAAAAAATACATCCATTATTTCGTCACTCTTTTCATCATTTATTAACTCTTTTTAAATTATTCATTTTTATCTTCTTTCATTTTATATTCTCAACTCTCTTCTTTTATTCTTTTCCTCTTTATCTACTTCATAATTTCACTTTTTTTCTTTTATATCATTCTTTCTCTTCATTTTTCTCTTTTTTCATTTTTTAGTTAAATAAAATGAAGAAAGATATAATAAAAATAAAATCGAAATGAAAACATGTTCATTCAGTTCATACTAATTAATAAGAGTCATGAAAAAGAAAAGAAGATTAAATGAAAAATTATTTAACTCATATGTTATCTAAACATAACTTTAAACAAACAATTCATTTTTGAATTATTTATGTTGTTTCCCTTGAATGG